TAATGTTGGGATTAATTTTTTATTGTTAAGGCTTTGAAATACAAATGAAATTTTAAAAGCCTGTTAGTAATTGAAAACTGTAATGCTGCTGAGGACACACTTTACTGTTATAATAACTATAAAACACAGTCATAAATATAAAAAATACTAAACTGGAATTTGGGAGAATGTTTTCACCTCATTCTTATGAAACTATAGAAATTATTCTTGGGTGTATAGTCTTATTGGGTATATAGGTTAAGACTAAAGATTAAGACTAAAACAAATAACAATGCTTTGGTATCACTTTCAAATTGCAATAAAACTGTGACAGCTTCTAAATAAAACTTTATAGGTTTAACTGTAAAATACAAAGGTGAGAAATAATTTCATTACCTAGAAACGTGTGATTTACGTGGCCTTGTCAGTGGGAAGACCGCCCACTCACTGGTGCCCTGTGCAACACACGCCTCCCGAGCACTGTCGTGTGCGGACGCCGGGCCAGTCGGCGAGGGCGAGACACGGGCTGGGCATCATTTCGCCCTGTGTCATTGGTAGTATCTTTTCTGTCGTGTGGGACTGCCTTGAAATAATCACTCAAAGAGACACTTGAGTTGAAAGGGAACTTTTTTCTTTTCATGTAAGGAGAGGACAAATGCCTACCCAGGTGGCACACCTTAGAGAGTCCAAAGCTTTTGATAGTCTTATATTTCATTCTCATTTTAAGCCAGAGGGCAGATTTTAAAATTATTTTTAGTGCTGGAGTTGCTTAAAAAACAACAGCATCAGCTGTTGTTGCAGGGGGTTGCAGGTGATTTAGCATGGCTGAAGGCCAGAGGTTAATCCCTGGTGAGTGTGTTTGGAAGCAGCAGGGCAGAGGTGCTCGCTGGCCCGCAGGTCCGTGGGGGTTCTTTAGAGGTGGTGTCGTGTGGTGGGTAGGAGCCTGCGCGCTGGAACCAGGCTGTGGGTATGAAGCCCAGGTCTGCAGTCACCTGGAGCAAATTACTTAACCTCGTCCTGCTCGTGCTGTGCTTGATGGGTCTGTAAAATGGGGGCTCGGCCCACAGTACAGTCACCACACTGTCGAATGGTTAATTCATGGAGGGGCCGAGGGTGGCGGCTGACACGGTAGGCGGTGGGGGTGGTAGCATGGCGGCAGTAGTTAGCAGTAGCGTTGGGGCGGACATCTGCCATTACAGATTCCCGTACTTAGGCCATATCAGAGTCACAAAAGGTCAGTCACAGCCAAAGATAAGACACATTTATTGGTGGACTGTAATTTAAGAATTGAGGAAGAATATCTTCTTGATGCTGGTGTGACCACTTTGTTCCCTAACTAAGGTATGCGCCGCTGATAACCGTGGGCTGGGGACTCTGTCCAGTGGTCCCGGTGCCTGTTACCACCGTACAAGGCTACCAGCCCTGGGTTGGCTGTCCATCAGCTCTCTCGGGCAGGAAGGCTGACTTCCCTCATGGTGCTGCCTGTTGTGCTTGTAGCCTGCTTCTAGTGCCTCAGCAACGGCAGTCAACATCAGGCAAGTTCAGTGAGTGGCTTCCATAGTCGCTTTGTCAGAGTTCTTTCTTGGTATCTCCACAGAGGAGCAAAGGGAAGAAAAGGGTTGAGAGAATGTGCCTCATTCAGTGGTTCTCAAATGGGAGATATTTTGTGCCCCAAGGAACTCTGGCAATGTCTAGAGACATTTTTGGTTTTTACAAAGGAGGAATTGCTACCATGATTTATTGGTTAGAGCCCAGAGATGCTGCCAAACACCCTACAATGCACAGGACAGCCCCACAAACAACGAATTAATTATCTGGCCCATAGTGTCAATACAGTTGAAGTTGAGAAACCCTGAGTTAACCTAATTATAGGGCCAGGTTTCTGTGCCTGGCTAAGTAGTGGGTACCAGTTACATGCCATTTTACACAGAGACTTCCTGGCTGGCGATACAGGCAGAGGCTGGAGGTGGGGGAGCTTGCTTTTTTTTGTCGGAGGAGTGGTTTCTCTATACTGAGTGTAGCGTCTCTCCATGGCCCCGGTGTCCCCACCTGTGCGGCTGGCCTCTGACAGTCCAGATCACTGGAGGACCAGTCGACGCCTTAGATTCCATGTAAAAGCAGGGCTGGCGGCTGACTCCCGCTGACCATGCCAGCTAGTGACGTGCCTGGGACAGGCTGTGAGTCATGTGGATGGCAGGGGTGGTGTGGGGGGGGGGGACCTGCAGCCCTGCAGGAGAGTGATCTTGTGACTGGACAAAGTGATAAAGCTTGTATCACCCAGGGGGACATTTCTTCGGGAAGGGTAGAAGCACATTCCAGAGGATAGTTTTATTTTTTATTTATATATCTGTAACAGGCAGTTATGTAGTGCCTGTTATATACCAGGAAGTATTTAAAATATTTTATACATGTTAACCCATTAGACCCTCATAACTGCCCCAGAAGCAGGCTTATTATTATCGCTCTTTTACAGACAAGGAAACAGGAGTGGGAGCAACGGCTCAAACCTAAGAAGTTTGGCTCCAAAGTCTGGGCTCTTCACCACTGTGCTGTAGATGAAAGACACTGAGTTTCATACTTGGTTTTCTTATTCTGCCTTGGCTCGTGACTGCTGGCTGGTTCCAGGGAGGCATCAGGGAACGAGGCAGACCCGAATCAAGTGTTCATTCTGACTTACCCCTGTAACCACAAAAAAGTTACTTCATGTCTGTGAACCTCAGTTTTCTCATCTGTAAAATGAGGTCATACCTACTCATGGAGAATATGGACATGTCATGGGATTTCATATATATATATGTGTGTGTGTGTGTGTGTGTGTGTGTGTGTGTGTGTATTTATAGACCTTCAGAAAATGTTAGTTCTCTTCCACCCTTCTTTGCTGTAATCAGATTTTTGGCCTTGTTTACTCCAGTGTCATGGCCAGCTTCTCTTACTGCCCACTGGTAAGATACATACTGAAGAGCAAAAAATAGGCCTGGTCACAAGAAGGAGCTGGAAAGAAGTATTCCAAGTCATGAAATCCAAAGACCTACATCCAAGATTGATCTATCCAGCAAAGCTTTCATTTAGAATGGAAGGGCAGATAAAGTGCTTCTCTGATAAGATCAAATTCAAGGAGTTCATCATCACCAAGCCCTTATTATATGAAATGTTAAAGGGACTTATCTAAGAAAAAGTAGATGAAAAATATGAGCAGTGAAAGGACAGCAAACTCACAGTTATTAACAACCACACCTAAAACAAAAGCAAACTAAAAGGACAGCTAGATCAGGAGCAGAACCATAGAAATGAAGATCACATGGAGGGTTAGCAGCAGGGGAATGGGAGAAGGAGAAGGGGGGAGAAGGCACAGAAAATAAGTAGCATAGATGGTAGATAGAAAATAGGCAGGAGGAGGGCAAGAATAGTATGGGAAATATAGAATCTAAAGAACTTGAGACACATGGTCATAAACTAAAGGGGGGAGTGGTGAGGACGGGGGGGGTAGGGTGGAGGGGAATGAAGAGGGGAAATAGAACAACTGTAAAGGCATAATTAATAAAATATATTTTTTAAAAAATAGGCCTGGTCTGATATTTGTCAGAATTAATGAGTGGACAGACTGCTACAGACCTTCACATTGTGAGGAAGCCTGATGTTTGGTGCCGGGCGGTGGTGGAGATAGTGAGATAATGACAAGCACATCAAATCAGACTTTCACAACGGAGACATGGGCTCTGCTTCTGTCTGTAGTTCTCAGTCAGCTCCAGCGATGTTGTCTATAAACCGCTGAGAACACAGACTTCCGTGTTAATTACGTATCTGTGTCTCTGTTGGGAAGAGTTTCTCCCTGGACTTGGTAGAGCAGGGCAGTCCAAGTGCCTCTTGCTGAGGGTGGTTGGCTGTGCTCCGGGTCGATGAGTTAACCAGGTGTGTGTTTCTTTCCCGGCCGGATCAAAGTACCTGCCCAGAGCAGGTTTGCTCTGTTCCCAGCAGAATGAAAGGGAGCAGCTTCCCATTTGTCTCAGTTCAAGACTTTACTATATCCTGCTACCCACACAGTGTTCTGCCCCCTGGCCCACTCCCAGTTAGTGAGTGCGGATTCTATCCACATGGATGACCATCCCGTTGTCCTTCTTCCTGCCTTTTCCACATGTGCAAGTCAGTGTATCTTTCTTTGATTGCAAGTTTCCGGAGGAGAAGGGCTATTTCATCTCTGTGTGTGTGCTGACACATGCGTGAGGAAGCTACATCTGGAGGGAAGTATATGACTCCTTGACCCACAGCCACCTGTAAGGAAAGGGCATCAACTCCTAAATGTAAGCACCATGAGAGAACATCCCTGACATCTAGAACAGTGCCTGGCACACAGCAGTTTGATAGATATTTCTTAGACAAATGAAAGCCTCTGGTCTTTGCATATTTTTCTAAATCTGATTTTAGTTAACTGAGTATAGCATGCCTGGAAATGTGGAACTGTGGCTTTTATTATTACTATCTGTAATCAAGAGATATAAAGACTGCAAAAAAAACACTTGGGACATGCTGGAGTAAAGGGCACTAAAAATAATAACAAACTTGATCCAGAAGCTGCTTTGGGACTTTGGGGTCGTTACTCTGTGCATCAGTGAAATTCGGCCAGTAAATTCACTGGCCAAATATAGCACCATGGTAGGTGCTCTGAGGAGGAGGGGTTTCTAAATAGAGTGCTCTGGTGAGATGCTGAGCAACAGTGAGCATTCTCTGTCAGACCAGTGGCTAGAAATAATTTTATGTCATTTATGCTAAATTTGCATCACAGAATAGACCATGCTGTTTTGTACTTTCTGGCCTGGGGCACAGAATGGAAGGTAGACCTTCAGCAGTGACATGGGAGGGATTTGGTCATATTTGAGATATGCTTTGTTAGGACAGGTCTCAGGCGGTACCTTTGGACTGCTGCTCTTTGTTCTTAATGTCAAAGAGAAGAAGAGAGAGCATGTGCATTGAACAAATACACAGTGGCGAAAGAATTTTAAAACTACCCGCATTTTATTTTACAGACCTAAAGAAAACTCTCGCCGTATTGTTGGATAATATTTTGCAGCGCATTGGCAAGTTAGAGTCGAAGGTGGACACCCTGGTCATCAACGGCACAGGAGCCAACTCGACCAACTCCACCACAGCTGTTCCCAGCTTGGTAGCACTTGAGAAAATTAATGTGGCAGGTAAGAAGGGCAGTCCTGTAGCTTGGCGTGGAGCCAGACCTTGATTTGAACTGGGAAAAGAATAAAGAAGCACAGTGGCTCTTTTCAATAGGACATAAATCCCACAAACTTGGTATGGCTCCTGTAAAGCTACATTTAAATTTATTTTTGAATAACAGATGTTAAAATGCTTTTATAGTCTCGTCATGGTGTGTGATATCTGGTGGTTTCTGTGACATATTTTACATAATGAGCTCCTGGAAGTCACTTTTAATGAGCAGATTCATAGCACGGATGAATGAAATATAGAGGTTATCTGGGGAGCTCACATCAGTTGGAAGTTCTTTCTCTTCCCCATTTTCATTAGACAATTTCAAAAGTTTATTACATACGGTAGATTCTCTCCTCTGAGGCACCGTTGCAGAAAGTACCTCCTGTGTGTATGTGGGAAATTCAGTTCTGGAAATGACACGTAGGAAATAACTGCCCCGGCCTCTAGCCCCTCCTGGGGCTACCAGGCATCTCACAGGGATTCATTTGTCCCCTTCTTGAGACTGCAATCTTGCGTGAGAGAAGAGAAATGGGTTAAACACAAAACCCAAGTCATACACAGCGTGTACTGTCCACAGCTCGTGGGCCCCCCATTGCACTGCCCTCAGGCTGGGTCTTTGTGGTTGAGTCAGAGCTCTTGTTAGGGCGACCACTGTCCTTTCCTAGGGACTCAGGACAAAGCAAAAAGCTAGAGGGTTAGGGTTAGGTGCCCTGGGGGAGTGCTTGTGAATACCCATCCTATACTCCTGGTGGGTGGTATCCAAACTCTAGTTAGTGGGTAAAGTAAGTGGCTGAGTTGCTTTTGAAATTTTTAAAATCTGGTTTGGCACGCACTTGTTGGCTTGCTTCTCTGTCCCCCTTTCACAGACTTCCTTGGGAGCAGTCCTTTTCCTTTCCCCCTCCAGGGTCAGTACATTTAATCATTTCACATTATGCAAGCTTGTTGTATTACCTGTTTGTTATGTTCTTTGCCCTTTCACGAGTTTCAAATTGCAGAATATACTTCTGATAATCCAAAGTAGCCAACCAAAGATTTTAAAAACAACTTTTAATTACAACACAGAGGCAGTGTCATCTAGGCCATAAATCCTGTCTTCCCTGCAGTTCCCAACAGCTTCTGTAATTAGACGAGAAAACCTCCCACTGTGTTGAGCTGCTTATTAATAAACAGAACCCATGCCTCTCCAGTCTCCACTCCTCCACCCCTTTCCCGTAGGAAACGCTAATGAAAAGCTCCCATCTGATTTCACGGCAGCTCTGCATTCTCTTAATGCTGGAGGTGGGGCGGGGCGCTCTGCCACTAATGTTGTGGCTCCCATTGCCTCTGCCCTGTAGGAACCATGTAAATATGTCTGCTGTCATTCTCTTACCTGATAAGGGATCGTCCTGCCCCTGGCTTGTCCTGTTTGTGAGCCAGGCTCACAGGGAAACTTCTCTTTCCGGTCTCCACGTCCCAGGGTACAGAATGGTGGGGAGACCTTCAGCAGTGACAAGGGAGGAATTTGATGGCTGCTTCTTTCCAATGAGGTCCAGCCCCACGTATTGAACTAGTTTACTCAGTTAACAAATATCTCTTGAGCATATTCTCTAAGCCATTGGATCTGAGGTGGGTTCCGTTACTTATATACCATGAACCCTATGTTTTCACTGATATTTAAAGAACCAAGTATTTTGGTTTATTTTTTTCCTTTGGGGGAAATGGGAGAAAATTTAGAGTTATGCCTTTAGTAATTAATCTCATCTTGCTCCTTTGTATTTTTTGTGTGTGTGATACCCGTCATGCATTTGTGATTTTTTACTGGCCAATAAGGAAAATAACACAGATTGTGATCACTGTAAGTGGCAGTCCGTGTGGAAGACTTTTCATGGGAAGGTGAGCTTTGAAGGTAGGAAGGATTGAGGCATAGGGCCCTCATGGAGGAGATACAGACTAGAAATGGGTTGTGGCCCAGAAAGACACTTGGAAGGATGGAGAGGAGACTAACAAGTAACAACCATCCACTAATACCAGGTACCGTTCCTGACTCTTGGAGCCACATGGTTTTATTTAATCCTTGCCGCGTCTCTGTGAAGTGAGGGATCTCGCAAGTTTTAGTGAGCTGAAGTATTTGGGAGAGGGGGACCTTTGGTGCTGTAGCCCCCTGAGCTCAGCCTCAGGCCTCCTGGCACCACCTGGAGAAGACATTGTGAGTCTGTGTCTGAAAGACATTGAGGGCACTGTCTTTCTTGCTTCCATTCGTGAATCATCGCAAATGGGTGAGTCTGGGGACATGTGCTATCATTTTCTTAGAGGTTCCTGAAGAACTGACAGTGTACCCTGTTTAATAAGGAAGTTTTTTACATCGGAGTGTCTAATCATTGGTTGACCTGTGTACTTTGAAAAACTAAAAAAGAACGGCAGCTCGTCCCCCAGTGTGCGTGCACGCATGTGCATCCCTTCCCTAGATACCATGTCGGCCACGGTGGGTGTGGTGCGAAAAGGAGAGTGGAGGCCCCCTCCCCTAGTTCCCCCAGAGGTTGAAGGGTCCTTTGTATCTTTTACAGTGATCAATGGACGTAAAGTTTCTATTTGTCTTATCTATAGATTAGGGTGTGAAAAAGAAGGACAAGAACCTAAAGTTCTTAGTCCTCGTTCAGTATCAGTCCCCCAGTGCTTCTATGCCCTCTCACTGCTCTGTGGCCACGAGAGAGGCAGTCCTCACAGCCCCCTTGTCAAAGCAGGAATAATAGGTCTTGAGCTGTGAGAGAATTCATTTTTATAGGGTTCCAATCCTAGTTGAGTGAAGTTCTTCATTCTTACTTTCTGCATTAAGACATTTGGTAATTGCTCAGAAATGTTCTCCCTGGTGTGTCTTTACTGCTTACTCTGGTGTCTTATTGCTCATGATGTTTCTGATTGCTTACTGTTATGTCTTATTGCGTGTTGATATATCTTCTGGTTGGCTATAAACTGCCTCTAAATTGGATAGCACAGCAGTTGAAGCAGGACTTCTTAAATTTATTTTCTTTTGGGGACATTTGTGTGTATGAGTGTGTGTCCCCTTTCCTTTTCTGTTTAGCTGTTTTTGATGTGGCTTCTATCCAAAGTGGTTTTCCTTCCAAATTTATCACTCTTGGGCTTTTTTATTATGTGAAAGTGAATGTTCCCCTAGAGAAATTTAGGTGAAAATGAGCCTTATGAAAATCAAGAATTATATTGAACTACATTTTGAGCTCTATTTATTTTATTGAAGAGGAAAGTGAATCAAAGGAATGGAAGAAAACAGATATTTAGAAATCCCTACCCTTCAATCAATCACCATTTCTATAGGTTTTCTTCCTGAAAGAACTTGTCTGTGCCTTTGTCAAAAAGTATCTACTTTCTGAATGATACCTTGTTTGTCTTTTTTTTGAAAAGACCAATTCCTGCTATTCTCCAGATTTGTGATCTTAGATCATGAAGCAGAGCAAACAGTATTGGGTCTGTGGCTCTTTGCCCTGTAACTAACATGGGGGAAGGTAAAAAGTATGTGTGATAATGAAAATGCCTGTCTCCTAACAGTTAACACCCTCGTTTATCCTTGTTTTGTCCATAGTGTCTTGTTCAAAGCCAACCTCTTGAAGGTACTCAGTACATCCTGCTCCTGTGGTTGGGGTTATGCGGGATGGGGAGAGCATTTGGTTTTACTGCTTCAACGGCTTTCTTACATTTTCTCTTCTCTATTTATGCTCATGGGGATTTGCATTGAAAATAGTATTTGGTATCTCATTTCCCTTTTCTCAGATCTTAGGAGACACCGCACCACCTAGGAAACAGGACTTTCTTTCTGTCTGGCATGACTGAGTTCCCAGATGATTCTGTACCTGTGGAGCCTTCAGAGGAAGTGATAGTTACAACTCCAGATTGTAATATTTGGGGGGAAGGGCCCACATTGTACAGCTCTGTACTGTGGGTGAGAGGAAAGGGAAGCATGGATGCATGCATGGGTGCATTTATTTATACTCTCAAAAACCAGTCTTGTCATTCAACATCAGCTGAATAACACATTGGCCAGCGTTGATGGTTCTCTAAAAGGCACAGCATAATGCCAGCATCCCCTTTGAGTTTTGACCACTTAGAATTGCAATAGAAACAGTCACAAAATCAAAGATGCAGGAATAATTCCAGTGGCTGTTTCCTGATATTTAGTCCAAATTACACATTATGCAGTCTTGTATTTTGCAAACATCACTTACAACATGCAGTATGTTCTAGTATTTGGGATTGAAGTGCAGTGTATTTGAACTTGGATGCTCTTCTCAATAAAAAGAATCATAATTATTATTCTCACCATTTGAAATTGAAAATGAAAAATCTCCTGCTCTGTTCCAGGGCTTATGTTTAAAAGTACAGTTCCCCACTTTGTGTTGCTAATGGACCTTAAAATTAAGTTGCACCTGCACAACCCACATTGTCAGTTGTGTTAGAGCGGCACCTGAAGGGTCCAAGTTCTTCTTACCCCTGCAGTGGTTCAGCAGGTGGCTTTTCCAGGATCAGATATTGGGCAGTCAGTGGCTCCCCAGATGCTGGCAAGAGACAGGAGAGAGATGGGAGATGAGGGGTGCTTTCTGATTGATTAGAGCAAGAAACACACCTGTTCCTCCTGTCTTACCTGTCACTTTCTGTTTCATTCTTTGCATGGACAGCAATAAATACTCAGTCACATGTCAAAAACAGTTCTTTTAGTACCTTCACCAAAAGATGTATGTCCTTGTTTGTGTGGTTTTCACTTGGCGTGGTCATGGGCATTTTGACTTTTATGATGGAGGAGGAGGAGGAGAACAGGAGAAGCAAGAAGGGGGAAAATACATTTCAGGAATGTATTTGACCTTTGAGAATTCATGCTGACTTTTGAGCCTGTGTATTTATAGCACCGAATCTCAAGACAATTTTGTCCCCATAGATGACACTTGGGAATGTCTGGAGACATTTTTGGTTGTCCCAACTGAGG